CACCCCTCCCACATCTGACTTTGTGTATAAAAGACCCGTTGTAATTCCCAATAACACACATTGCTTCTGCCCTAGATTGGAGTCCAGTCTCTTTCTTTCTCTCTCTCTCTTTCTCTCTTTCTTCTTCCCCCCAATTTCCGATGCCATCTCCACCATTGGGGTACCCTGAACCTGGCTGGAGCTGGTCTCTGGCAGGGGACCACTTTAAAAAATCTGTTACATTGTTTATTTTTGAGTTGGGGTCTCACTTTTTCACCTAGGCTGGAGTGCAGTGGCATGATCACGGCTCACTGCAGCCTCGACTTCCCGGGCTCAGGTGATCCTCCTGCCTCGGTCTCCTGAGTAACTGGGACTACAAGGGCACACCACCATGTCCTGCTAATTTTTAAGTCTTTTTGTAGAGACGAGGTCTCACTATGTTGCCAAGGCTGGTCTCAGACTCCTTGGCTCAAGTGATCCTCCTGCCTTGACCTTCCAAAGTGTTGGGATCATAGGTGTGAGCCACTGTACCTGGCCAGGGATCACTTTTGATATTTGTCTCAATGGTCACAGGTGATTAACATATCCTGCTATTTTTTGTTTTTCAGTCAATTATCTACTGTACTGACTTCTTATGGTCGGTATCTCTCTTCCCTTCTAGCCTCCAATAAAGCTATCATTTTTTCTTGTGTGTGGTAAAGTCAGTATTCAGTATCATGGGGATATAAATTAGTGCTGAGCCACATAATAAGATTATACGAGGGAGGACCAAAAAACAAAACAAAACCATTCTTCCTGATTTTAGGATATTTTTCTTCACATTGAACTTAGAGGGTCTGAGTAAATGTCATTGTGAGGTTCTTGTTGCAATGTATTTTTCTAGAGTTCATTGAGCCTCTTGTATCTGGATATCTAGATCTCTTGCTAGACTAGGGAGGTTTTCCTTAATTATTTCCTCAAGAGGTTTTCTGAATGCTTTGCTTTTTCTTCTTTCCAAGGGATACCTATGATTTGTAAGTTAAGACATTTATGTAGTCTCTTGCTTCTTGAAGGCTTTGTTCATTTTTAAATATTCCTTTTTCTTCATTTTTGTCTGACTGAATTAATTCAGAAGACCTGTCTTCAATTTCTGAGATGCTTTCTTCTGCTTGGTCTAGTGTGTTGTTGAAGGTTTCAACTGTATTTTGTAATGCCTCCAATGAATTTTTTACTTCCAGAAGTTCTGTTTAATTTTTTCTCTTAAAAATATCTATCTCCTGGCTAAATTTCTCTGAATTGATTTTCTGATTTCTTTGTATTGGCTGTCAAATTAAATTTCTGTTGCATTTCATTGAGCTTCTTTAAAATCAGTTGAATTCTTTATCTGGCATTTAAAAACATTTCATTTTGATTAGGAACCAATGCTAGAGAGTAGCATCATTCTTTGTGATTGTTGTAACACCTTTTTTAAAAAATACTTTCAGAATTGTTACACTTGTATCTCCTCATCTTTTGAATTGCTTGGTTCTTTTTTCCCCTTGAGGATGTGTCTGTGATGTTTGTTGGGTAGGGACATTTGGCTTTTCCTCTAGATGCTTTCAGTGGCAAAGACTTTGTAGAACTTCCTTAGTTCTAGGCAGCCTGAGTGTGGTGACTTTCTGAAATGCTGATTGCAGTAGTGGTGGACTGCATGTGAGCAGACTCATGGCCTCCCACAGAGCTGAGGAGACAGGGTTCTCGAGAGGCTTATCTGGTTCTCCAGCCCTGTGCACTGGTACCAGCTGCCTTTGTATTAAGTTGTGCTCTTTTTTTTTGGATTCAGAATCTCACTGTGTCACCCAAGCTGGAGTGCAATGACATGCTCACAGCTACTGCATCCTTGACCTGCTGGACTCAGGGGATCCTTCTGGCTTAAGCTTCCAAGTAGCTGAAACTACAGGTGCCCACCACTATGTCTGGCTAATTTTTTGGTTTATTGTAGAGATGAGGTCTCACCAAGTAGCCTAGACTGTTCTATAATCCCCGGGCTCAGGCAGTCCTCTCGCCTCCACCTCCCAAAGTCCTGGGATTCCAGGCATGGGCCACCATGCCCCTCCATGTCGTGCATTTTGACTTCCAGGCTAGTTGGGGGGACATGCAGATAAGTGCCGCTGTGACTATAGCAGTAGGGTTTACTTTATGTTCTCCCTTGGTTCCAATAGTTTTAGTGGGTACAGAGAGTTTTTGGTTACATGGATGCATCGTCTAGTGGTGGAGGAGTCTGGGCTTTTTGTGTACCTATCATCCCAGTTCTTGATCTGTGTCTACCTGGAGAAACTCTCCGGTGCCTTGAGCAGTGAGCTGAGCACTCAGTGGCCTGGGACCCATGCTTGACCCTGGAGGAGGCAGGGAGTGAAGCTGGGCAGGTGAGTCGGCCTGCCCACGGGTCCCTGTGGTTTCCCCAGTGGAGGAGGCCGGCACCAGCCTGGACGGGGTGTGGATGGAGTCAGGCAGCCTTGGGGAAATGTGCCGAGGTCTCCCCCTGGGGGAGGGAGGAGCTGCTTTGGCAGGCAGGCGTGTGATCCCTTGCCCTGTCCCACGCCCTCCCCAGTGTTCAGGATGTTCAGTTCAGACCAGCACTGCTGTTTCTTTCCAGGCTGCAAGGTAGCTGTGGTCCGTCAGAGAAGCCTCCCCCCAGGCCCACCACTAAACCTCCATGCCATCTGGAGAGGGCTGTGGTGTGGGCTCTTTTCCTCAGCTCCAAACACACAGCTTTCCCGCTGTCCTGCAGCTCTGTGCGGAGAGGTGCCGTGCATGGGAGGCTGGGCAGGGTTTGGCTGGAGTCGCGGGGAGTGAACGTGTCCACCAATATGGTTAGGAAGCAAGAAAGGCAGATTTATGCTGGGCGCAGTGGCTCATGCCTGTCCTCTCAGCACTTTGGGAGGCCGAGGCGAAAGGATTGCCTGAGCCCTGGGGTATGAGGCCAGCTGAGGCAACATGGCAAGGCCTTGTCTCTCCAATAAATCACAAAATTAGCTGGGTGCAGTATTTCATGCTTGTAATTCCAGCACTTTGGGAGGCGGAGGTGAGAGATTGCCAGAGCCCAGGGTTCAAGACCAACCCAGGCAACTTGGTGAGACCTTGTCTCTACAGTAAATCAAAAAATTAGCCAGGCATGGTGGCACACGCCTGTATTTCCGGTTACCTGGAAGGCTGAGGCAGGAGGATCGCCTGACCCCAGCAGGTAGAGGCTACAGTGGCCACGGCCGTGCCACTGCACTCCAGCCTGGGCGACAGAGTGAGACTCCTACTCAAACAAAAAAAAGGTGGATTCATTAAGGAAAGGTAACATTGTGAAGGGTGCAAAGGACAGGACAACAGTGAGAGTGTCTGCCGTCTGCCTGCAAGGAGGCAGTGGCCTGGGGTTCTTCCTAGGGGAGTCTGACCCCGGGAGTTTTAGGATTCCCATCATGCATTTGGGTTCCTGCCATGCAAATGAGGTATTTCTGGTTGGCTGATGTTTGACTTTGATGGTGAGCTGCTCACGGGCCAGCAGGGAGCTGTTTAACCTTTATAGTTTTGTCATCTCATTCTGAGATTTCCTTCCTCAAAATAGGTTATCCAATTTATTCAATTGACACTGGCTTGGTCAGTTCTCATGTTCCTTCCCAAGGGGGGCAGGATGTGTTTTTTGCTCAAACCCACCTGGTGGACACACTGCCAGCAGGGATGCAGCCCTCCTTCATGCCCCAGAGAGGCTGCCATCCAGCTTACCTGGCCAACTTGCTATGAATCGGGGGAGAAGGAGGAGAAGGCTGCTCTCTGTGCCTGGGTAGAGCACAGAGGCCCCTTGGCAGGCAGTGTGGACGTCCACCGCATCCCTTGCAAACCCAGCACGGAGTATGAGCCTCTGATGGAGGTAGCACCGCCACTCACAGACCCAAGCGGGCACTCCTGGGCACCGGGAAGCCTGCACTTTGGCTTTCTTTGTCCCAGGGCTGCCCCCTTGGTACTCTGCACTCCCCTTTGCCCTAGGAGTAGCACCCCTGAGAGCTAGATGACTGTGAACCCTGCAGCTCACAGGGTGCTGCCAGCCCTGAGCCACATCACCCTCCGAGTGGGCACTGGGGAATGGCAGAGTGTTACTGTCCAAGGAGATGCTTGGCTGCTGTCTCTGGAAGCCAATCCATCGAAGAGGCAGGGAACTGGCATAAAGAAGTCACTGTCTTTTTTATTTTCTGTTCTTTATTTTCTTTGTTTTCACCTTCTTTTTTTAAAAAAATTATTTTAAAATAATTTTTAATGGGGTACCATTCAGGTTAGGTATACAAATGTTCATTATGCAGGTACCCTCGTTGATGAGGTCAATGTCCCACTACTGAAAATCCCTTTCAGTATTATGATAATTGTTCAAGCTCTGCTTATGAGTGAGAACATGTGGTACTCGGTTCTTTGTTTCTGTGATAGCTCGCTCAGTATTAAAGACTCTAAGTCCATCCAAGTTGGAAATATGCATGAACTATAATTACTTTGTCAGGCAGTAGATCACAGAACTTATTGATCAACCTCTCTCCTTTCCTCATCTGTCCTTCCCCCTCACCTCCTGCCCCAGCCTCTGGGAACCCTCCTTCTCTTCTCTACTTCTATGAAGTTGACTTTTTTAGATGATGCATAGAGGTGAGATCATGTGGTGTTTGTCTGTTTGTGTCTGGCTTATTTCACTTAGTAGAATGGAATCCGTAGGTCAAAGAGACAGCTACACCCTCACATTTATTGTCACATTATTCACAATAGCCAAGGAAGGGAATCAACCTACGTGTCCATCAATGAATGAATGAATGAATGAAGACAACGTGGTATATGTATACAATGGAATACCATTCTGCCTTAAAGAAATGAGATTATATCATTTGTGACAACATGAACTGGAAGATACTGTGTTTGTTTATTCAAGTCAGTCAGGCACAGACAGACCAGTACTGTGTGATCTCACTAACAGAGGGTCGAAAAAACTGGAACTCATAGAAGTGGAGAATAGAATGGTAGTTACTGTTTATTTATTATTATTATTAATTTATTTTTTGAGTTGGAGTCTCACTCTGTCACCCAGACTGGAGTGCAGTGGCCGCTCCCAGCCACCGCAGCCTCGACCTGCTGGACTCCGGCGATCCTTCCGCCTCAGCCTTCCCAAGTAGCCGGAATTACAGGCATGCGCTACCACACCCGGCTGATTTTTTTTGCTTTATTGTAGAGATGAGGTCTCACTGCCCAGGCGGGTTTCGAACCCGCGAGCTCAGGCAATCCACTCACCTCAGCCTCCCAAAGGTGCAGGATTACAGGCTGAGTCACCGAGCCCAGCTATGTTTATTTATTTTTAATGCTCATAGGCACATGATGTTGTATGTTATGTATGGGATACCTTCTACAAATACATTCTACCAGATCTCAGGTTTCACGTAGGCAATAGTAGTAGATTTCTATTTCTTTTCTCTGTCTCCTTTCTTGCACCCATGCATCATCATCCATTTGCTGCAGAATAGTGAACTTTTTTTTTCTGAGTCAGAGTCTCACTCTGTCACCCAGGCTAGAGTGCAGTGGCACGCTCATGGTCACCACAGCCTCTACCCACTGAGCTCAGGTGATCCTCCTACCTCAGCCTCCAAGTAGCTAGAACTACAAGTGCACACCACCTCACCTGGATAACTTTTTGATTTATTGTAGAGACCAGGTCTCACCCAGTTGCCCAGGCTGATCTTGAACCCCTGGACTCAGGCAATCCTCTCACCTCAGCCTCCCAAAGTGCTGGGATTACAGGCTTGAGCCACTGTGCCTAGCCAGAACAGTGAAATTTTATAAATATAAATTATGGCTTCTTGTTCTTTCATTTCCAAAGCAAAGAAATTCATAATCCAGCCCCTCCTTGCAGTCAAGTTCATCCCTACCTGGTGCCTTGGTTACTACCTTCTAGAATGTTGTCATTCCTGTCTCAGGACATTTGCGTTTGCTGTTCACCCTGCCTACAGGCACTTTGGATGGCCGTCTTCTCGTGGTTAAGGTGCCAACTCTGTGTGGAAGCCTCTACGGATCTTTTTCCTGCCCTCTTCTAACAGGGTTCCTGATCTCCCTTGCGTCATTCTGTATTTTTCATTTGTATCTATCACCAAATGACTAAACTGTCTCTACCTTTTGCTACGTTTTGCCACTGAGTCCTCACCAAAAAGCAAGACCCGGGAAGGCAGAGATTGTTTGTCTTGTTCAAGACTTTAGATAGAAACTTTGTAATTGGATAATTCCTAACTCTGAGATTTATTCTGACCATTGCTGTGTGTCTCTTCTCTTGGCCTCACTTCTGATTTAGACCACAGAAGAAAATACAGAGAGAGAATGAAGGCTAAAATATTGGTGATATGGGACAAAGTCTCTTGGCCCAGAGACCACATATATATCTGCAATATGACAGAGCATGAACATGAAGAACTACAGAGTCTACTGGATCCTAACAGGACAGGAGCCTGGGCCCAGACAATAGTCTCGGAGGGTAGGGCAGGGGTTGGGAAGACCACTCTAGTAATGAAGGCCATGCTGCTCTGGACAGATGGAGTTCTCTTTCACTGTAGATTTTTGTATGTTTTCTATCTTAGCTGCCATAAAATGAAATACATAGAGGAGACCACTTTTGCTGACTTGCTTTCTTGGGACTGGCCTGAATCTCAGGTCCCCACTGAAGAGTTAATGTCTCAATCTGAGAGGGTCTTGTTTACTGTTGATGGCCTTGAAGAAATGACCATGCCCAAGCCATACCCTGATGACTCAGATAACTGTCCACGATGTACAGACTGGCACTAGAAGCTCCTGGTGACCAAAATCCTACTCAGCTTGTTGAAGAAAGTGTTAGTTCCCCTGTCCACCTTACTGATCACAGTCAGGACCTCTCTTGTGACTGATCTTAAGGACTCCTTAGTGAATCCATGCTTTGTACAAATCACAGGGCTCACCGAGGAAGACCAGCGAGAGTATTTCATGAGGTACTTTGGTGACCCAAGAGAAACTAAGCGAATCTTGCATTGGATAAGAAAAAATGAAGCTCTCTTTAATGCCTGTGATGCCCCCATGGTGTGTGGGACTGTATGTTCCTGTCTGAAGCAGCCCAAGGTGAGGTTCGGTCATTTCCAGTCAATCACCTAGACCACCCCCAGTCTGTATGCCTCTTTTTTCTCCAACTTGTTCTCAGCAGAGGTGAGTTTGGCAGATCAGAGCTGGCCAGGACAGTGGAGGGCCCTCTGCTCTCTGGCCATTGAGGGGATGTGGTCTGCGACCTTCACATTTAGAGAAGAGGACCTCCGGTTCCAGTGCCTGGAAGTGCCTTTCATTGATTTGCTCCTCTGGTTCAATATTCTTCGAAATGTCAGTGACTGTAAGGATTGCGTTACCTTCATCCACCCAAGTTTCCAGGAGTTTTTTGCAGCCATGTCTTACGTACTTGAAGAAATGAAAGAATCTTCCCATCATTCCGAGAGGTATCAAGAGATGAAGACATTACTGCATTCGGTCTTGGTTGACAAGAACCCCTCCTGGACTCTAGTGGTTCTTTTCTTCTTTGGACTTTTAAAAAAGGACCTAGCAAGAGAAATGGAGGACACTTTGCATTGTAAGACATCTTCCAGGATAATGGAGGAATTATTAAAGTGGGAGAAGAGTTAGATAAGCCTGAAGGTGCCTCTGTGCAATTTGGCGTCCTACAATATTTCCACTGCCTACATGAGAGTCAGGAGGAAGACTTTGCAAAGATGTTGGATCATATCTCTGAGGCTGACCTTGATATTTTGGGGAACATAGAATTCCAAGATTCTTTGTTTTGCCTAAAGCACTGCCAGAGGTTAAGTAAGCTAAGGCTTTCTGTCAGCAGTGACATCATTCAGGGAGATGCGCAGACTCTGGAGTGAGTAATGCAAAACCATTTCTTCTTCAACATTCTATTTTCTCAGGCTCTGTCCAGATTCTTTCTGCGAAAAGCAGAGACTTTGTTGTGGTGGTGTCTCAGTGGCTACGTCTAACCACAAGTTCTGGATCAGCTCCATTTTGTAAGAACACACTCCCTCAGGTATCACATAGCGTTCCCTAGATAATTTAGTTTGATCTACTTAGAGGTAGATCTTATGTCTTAAGTATTGAATATGGAACATGTACATACCAGTCATTGTGTTAAGATGGCTGCATGCATGTAACCTATGCCAGTAACTGAGTGGAGGAATGACCGTTACTGGCTTTGTAGAAGAGAGGGCTGAAGGATGTGCAGAGTTTGTCTGTGTGTGGCCGTGCAGCTGTGGAGTAGCTTAACCTGGTTCAACCTTCTCTGCCAGCTTTCCAGGTCTTGAATACAATGCTAGATGTCTCTCCTCTGAGCATGAGTTTTGGTGGGAGTTGGAAGGGCCAATGATTTTTTTTTTTTGAGTGGGAGTCTCACTCTATCGCCCAGACTGGAGTGCAGTGGCCGCTCCCGGCCACTGCAGCCTCGACCTACTGGGCTCTGGTGATCCTTCCGCCTCAGCCTTCCGAGTAGCCAGAATTACAGGCATGCGCTACCACGCCCGGCTGATTTTTTTTTATTTATTGTAGAGATGAGGTCTCGCTGCCCAGGTGGGTCTCGAACCCGTGGGCTCAGGCAATCCACTCACCTCAGCCTCCCAAAGGCGTGGGATTACAGGCTGAGCCACCGAGCCCGGCAAGGGCCAATGATTTAACAAGAAACTTGTTCCTACTCATTTGACCTGTTGTCTCTTGGATGAGAAAGTCCAGAAATACTTGAACCATGTCTGGTTCTTATCCTGTGAACTTTCCCCACACTGGCTCTATGGATTCCAAGTCTAGAAGAAGGAAGCCAGGCTATCTTGACAGTTAGGCAGGTCCCAGGGATATTATCTAAGGTCCTCTTTTGAGACAGGGGCTGTGGTATCGTGAGCATTAGTAGTCCGTCAACATCATTCCCCACTTTATACATGATCACCCTAAAGCTTAACGAGATTCATGCCTTCCCAAGAACTGATACCAGGTCTGATGTTGAGGGTCATTTCCAACATCTTCTCTTGTTTAACCCTCAGACCTGCAAGAAGTATCATTTCAATTTTGGTTAAACACATTTACATTTTGAAAGGACTGATTTATTTGTGTTCACCCGGTCTAGATCCATGAGTTCCTCATTTGTGTGTTCAACCCACCACGATGGAAAAGATTTGAAGAAAAAAAAAATGTGTCTGTACTAAACATGTTCAGAGTTTATCTTTTACCCATATTCCCTAAGTGATACAGTGTAGCAACTATTTACAGGGTGTATCCATTCTTAGGTATGATAAGTATTATGATATAAAGTTGATTTAAAATATGCAGGAGGATGCGAGTAGGTTATATGCAAATAAGACTTCCTTTCATATCAGGGACTTGAGCATCCTTGGATTTTAGTATCTGTTCGAGGTCCTGGAATCAATCCCCTATGGATGCCGAGGGACGCCTGTAGTGGGAAGATGCTTGGCCTCGGGTTTTGGGGTAATAAATACTTAATCATATTGACTATGAGTTGTCATGTCTTGGAACCTCTAAAACCTAAATTGGGAAACTTATTTAGGCAAGGTTCAATGTTAGATCATGCAAATAACTGCTCTTACAGCAGTGTTTTCCCAGGGATAACCCCATTTATTGTGAGGACTAATACTCTGTCAGCATCATTATTCACTTTATTCATGATCACCCTGAGGTTTGCAGGGATTTCACACCTTCCCACGAGGTAAAGCTGGGTCTTCAGGTGTTGAGGTCAACTCCCGCTTATCTGTAGCACAGCTCCTTGCCTGTTTTCTCAGTGGTTTTTAACTCTGACACTATTATCAGCATTAACTGGGGTATTAAACATGGGAATATGCATTACCCAGTGGGCATGAATAACTAAGTTTATTAGTCCTACTTTAGTAGGGGAGAGCACCACTTTGTGGGGTCTTTCCAGAGGCAGAAGGAGGAAGACTGGGGAAGATACTTATAGAGTTTCAGAGCCTGGGGTGGGTGATTTTTAAGATGGGTCATGTAAGACAGAGAATTGGTTTGGATAAGACAGTTTGCATAATGACTTTGGATTGGTGGGCAAGAGTCTTAAAGCAAATATTGAGGACTCACCTGGATACATAAGCCATGTCATTGGCTCAGTCTTATCACCCAATAGTAGCTCTTCTCTGGAGCAAGTAGTGAAGTTGTTCTTGTCTGATTCCAGAATTATTGAGCACGAAAACAGGCATATGTGCTTTGTCCAGAATGAGTGAGTACAGGGACATTAAACTGTTGGGAGCCAACATCTATAGCTACATGGCTGAGGCCTGTAAAGGCCCATCTGGAAGATCGCCTCTGACATAGGATATCAGTTATACTTATAATATTGGCATGTGATTAGTGACCAGTGTGCATACATGGCAGTAAAACTTATAAGTAAATCTCTATACACCTGATGGAAAGTTGCACAGCGGAATTATTTTATATGACCTTGTCCCTTCTAAGTTTTACTTCTTTCTAGATATTTTTTAACTTCTATTTCCTGGTAGACTGGTTAATCAGCTCTTGTTCCCGAAAGCAGTCTCCCCTAGAGCTAGGATTAGAAACTAAATTACCATAATAGTTTTATCGCCCTGCCTCTAGCCAGGCAGAACGTTTTTTCTAGTTTTGTTAAATACCGAAACTCTGCTCCAGCCCATGGCCATCATCATGGCAACCATACATTTCCTTGTTCAAGAGTATGACAACTACCATAAGATTTATGAAAGAATTAATGATAAAGTATTAGCTTAATAAGATATAGCATAGTATTAAAGTTCAATCATCAGATTATAGAAAAATTAAAGTTTAGATATATGAAACTCATATAAGTCATGGTAAGGTTTTGTAGAATTACAGGGCACTATGTTGAATCATAATAGGTTAATGGAATAAATAAAAATTAAGTCATTTAAGTAAACTTATAGATTATAGTATAGTGTTAAGTTAACAATATCAATCGTTAAAAAATATTAGGAGTCAGTGAACTTGGATTGAACCTAGAGTTAACTTAGAAAGTTTTTGTATTAATCAGGGTTTAGAACAAAGAGTATAATATGAACGATTTATTGAACATAATGGAAAACACTTTGAACAAACTGTATTGAAATTGTGCACCTGTGACTTTAATGTAAGTTTTGTGGAGTACGTCATGCATCATGGAATTGTAATTGTTTGCTTGGAACTTGCAAGTCTCGTGATGGTCTTGTGATGCATAGTTTGTAAAGCGCGATATGCATGGAATTTGTACGCCCCCAGCAAGTGATTATCACACTGCTGGAGGGTATAGAAAATGGTATATAAGTTGGAAGGAGTCCGAATAAAATTTGGACTCAGTTCTGATCAAACTGATCCCAGAAGAACTGCCTCTGAGTGGTCTCTTCTCGCCGTTCTGACTCTCCAGGGCGGGTCCTAATCCTCCCTCGGTCGGTACCGGTCACCGACAGCAAACCACATTCATTGAACTTCTCGTTCCCTATCCTGGTGATGTTCTGATTGGTAGAGCCGAGATTGGCCCTGTAAATCTTTATTTTAAAATGTCCATGCACACACACACGGAAACAACTACTCTAACCAATGCTATGACTGTGGGATTACAGGGCATATAACTTTGTATCCTTTTGGTATTTAAGATATGTGTTCTCTGTTTTACTCTCCTCATTTCTCCTGGGAAAAAAAGTTTATTTTATGACTTTAAGGTTTGATGACTCTTGTCATTAAAACAGAGAGCCCATTGCATTAGAGAAATCCTAAATAATTAGAATTCAAATAATTCCTAATCCTAAATACCTCCACGAGTCTTCTTTAATCATTATGAAATCCTATAAGAGTGCATTTTACTATCCATAGTTTAGAGAGAGAAAACAGGAACACAGAGATTAAGTAATACTAAGGTATAGAGCTCTGCGTTCATCTTAAATCTGCTTAATTTAAAGTCTGAACATGTAAGAAATATATGTGATGGTCTCTCTCACCTCCTCCATGTGTTTGCTTTCCTCTAAAGAAAATTGTTGAGCATTGTGGGAATGAAAACATCTGGCCGTTTTGAGAACTGTGCCTTCTGGGTCACACATCCTCATGTCTAGACCTCGGTGAATCCCCACAGTTTTTGTTGGGGCCCTTTTGCCTCCTGCAGGTCATGTTCTGGGCATTGGCTGAGACTAATTTACCTTCACCAGGCTTCTCTCTCTCTCCCTCATAAAGGGCAAGCACCACTGATTCCAGGATAAGCAAGTGGGAGGACATTTGCTCTGTGTTTAGCACAAACATGAATGTGAGTGAGCTGGACCTGAGCAACAGCAAGTTCAGTGCCTCATCTGCGAAGACTCTCTGTTGCGTGCTGAGAAGTCCAAGATGCAAACTCCAAAAGCTGCCGCAAGTGTGAGATGCTCACAGTTCCAGAGGGTACCCATAGGAGAGTGAGACAATGTCTTTGTTTGGACTCACACTGTTGACGATCTGTTTGCCAGGAGGCACACTAAGTGCTCAGGAGAAGAAAATAAATACACTGTGCTTGCATTTATGAAACTGCTATGTAGGTGAAGTAAGTTGAGATCTTTTTTTGTTGTAAAGATGCGGGGTACAAGTCAGGATTAGTCCTGTAAGTTGTTTATGTGCAGGTGAAGTTTGGGCCCCCAGCTGGTCCTCAATTCCCCTGGTTTAGGTCGCACATCCAGGATCTACAAGGAACTCAAGTCAGAAGTGGGGGAAAAAGCCCAACTAGAAAGTGGGCAAAAGGCTGGGCTCAGTGGCTCAGCCTGTCATCCCAGCACTTTTGGGAGGCAAGGCGAGTGGATCACATGAGCTCACAGGTTCGAGACCAGCCCGGGCAACTTGGCGAGACCTCTTCTCTACAATAAATAAAAAAAACTAGCCGGGCATGATAACACACACCTGTAGTTCTGGCTACTTGGAAGGCTGTGGCAGAAGGATCACCGGAGCCCAGCAGGTCGATGCTGGCGTGGCTGTGAGTATGCCACGGCACTCCAGCCTGGGTGACAGAGTGAGACTCCCACTAAAAAAAAAAGTGGGCAAAAGACAAGAATAGACACTTCTCAAAAGAAGACATACGAGCAGCCAACAGACACATGAAAAAATGCTCAGCCTCACTCATCATCAGAGAAATGCAAATCAAAACCATGTTGAGAGACCACTTAACCCCAGCAAGAAGGGCCATCATTAATACATCAGAAAGTTGAGATCTTAAATGACGACCTATCCTGAGTGACCTTGTACTAGAGATATGTGTAGACAGAGAGATTTTTTCCCTTAAGACCTCTGAGTGAGTCTACTGTTTTAAACTGGATTTGAAGGAGTAGAAAAGTTCTAGGACAAAGACATCTGTAGTCTGTGAGAATGGTTTTCTGTCTCAAGGAAAAGTAGACAGTTTGTGGCAGAACATCTGTGCATTTGAGGAGTTTTACCAAGTGTCTTCTCTGTGCCAGGTGCAGCTCTGGGTTCTGAGGTTTCAGCAGGGAACCCAACAGTTGACTCCAGCCAGCAGGGATCTCACACAGTGTCAGGGACACCAACAAAATGGCATGTGAGAGGGTGACATCTCCCAAGAAGAAGGAAATCTGTTCAGGGGCTCAGAAAGGGTGTGCAAGGAGGAAGACAGTTTGTCAATTTTTTAGGTAGGAAAGGAAGAAGGACTTGGCTGAACACAGCATTTTAGAAAAGACCTGCTTTGCTCAACGTATGGAAGGGAGCGTGACTGAGCTGCGTGGGAACCTGGAAGAAGACAGTTGAAGGCGGGGACACAAGTTCGAAGGCACCGAGAAGAGAATGCACTTGATGTTTTCTGATCTTATCAAGAAGGCCAGCCTGGGGAAAGTGGGGTGAGACAGGGGAGCGTCCTCACTGGAGCTGAAGCATATCTTTGGACTAAAGCATATTGGTCCTGTTCTAGCCCGACAGAAGTAGCAGCTATAAAGTCTCAAATCTAGCTTGAAGATGGGGGAGAATTAGTGAATGGAGGCAGACTTTGTGTGAGGAACCAGGGCAGAAAACCTATAGAGGATAGAGTAATACCTGGCATTGGATCTGAGGTGCTACTTGCTTGGATGCTCTGGAGTCTCGGCCAAATAATTGTCATGTTCTTTCTCTACCATTCTGTTTTACTTAGAAGGTCTGAGAATTGGACGCATGCGTTGATTCAACCAGTTAAGAATAAAAGGATCGGCAATAATGACTTTCCTCAAATTTCCACGTATTAAGTGAGCTGGATCAGACACATGCCATGGGGCAGGCTTAGGTAGTTTCCTTTGTGAATATTTTTTTATTTTTAAATTTAAATTTTGGTCCTATCACTTAGTCCTGAAGATGAGGAGAAACAAAGTTAAGAAAAAGCAAGAGTTGTTCTCACCAGGGTTTTTCTAGGTTCTTTAGGGGGTCACCTCCCTAGAAGAGTAGGCAGCCCCAGGACCTCTTCACGGCAGATTTCTGGGAAAGTGGAAGACAGACGGAGGGAGGGAGGGAGGGATTCCTGGCTCTATGTACCCAACTGAGCTTAGTGACTCTTTGGGGAGTATTTCAGTTTTCTTTTCAAGGTCCAGTACCATGACCCCAAAATCCTTGTTTTGAATTTCTGGTGTATGCTGTACAACCTTGGGGCAAGGTGTGTGTGGTGGAAGGTGGGATGAGGAGGCAGATGGAATCCTGGATGCCAGTCTTCCCCCCAGGTCACTTCTCTTCCCCAGGTGCAAGTCAATAACTCCCGTGCAGGTTCTGCGGAAACTTGTTCCGTCCTTCTTGGTAGCAAGAAGCTGACCCATCTCAGCTTGAGCTCTAACAGGCTGGGAGTGACTGTGCCCAGGATGGTTGTTAGAACCCCGAAACACCCAGGCTGAAACCTCAGATATCTATGGTAAGTCTTTGGTTTTCCACATGTGCTGGGTGGTCCCAACACCGCCCCTAGATTCCACGATCCATTGGGAGGACTCATTGGACTCAACATGGTAGCAAAAGGATCCAGAGAAATATTAGCAAAGAGAAAAGTTCATAGGTATAGAGCAGCAGTTCTGGAAACTTGAAGTGTATCAGCATCACCTAGGGGTGTTTTAAAACACACATGCCGGGAACCCATCCCTGGTGATCCAGCATGATCGGGGTAAGACCTAGGCTCCCACATAATACTGTTCCTTCTGGACCACGGGCCACATGGTAAGTGGCATTGACTTGGAGGCTAGCCTACCTCTGAAAGGGATGAGGAAGAGAAGGAGAAGGCTAGCGTTTGTTCACGGGGCAAGAGGGCTTCTGAATGAAGACTACTCTTCCCTATGGTAACTGTCTCTCGGGGCCTCTTGGATAGGTTAGACTCGTGTGGCCTTACCTCTCTGATTTGCCGTCTCTTTCTGGAACTCAGTGAGAATACAAGTCTGATCTTCCTGAGCCTGGCAGACAATAACCTCTGTGAGGTGAAAGCCTGAGGAGGGCCTCTGTAATACCAAAGCGTCCCATGAGAGAACTGTCGTAAGTGCCACAGCCTTCTCCAAGCATCTCGGCGAGTTTGAGTGGTGTGGCCGGGGTGGCAGTGGGGTATGTTTTAAGGAGCCTTGGGGGCCCCTAATGTATTTACGTGTCATGGAGACACACTTCTTTTCTTCCTTCTTTCTACCTTTCTTCTCAGGTCTCAACTTTAGCGTCTTGGTCCTCCCTTGGACTGTGGGCATGCCGCTTGGCTGCCTTTTATTTCTGGTGCAACCCCTAAGGCTTTTTTTAGCCTTCCAGTCCCACTGGTTTTCCACTGGGGATGAATTTGCCCCCTGGGAGAATATCTGGCAATGTCTGGACACATATTCGGTGTCACAGGTGGGAGGGAGGCATCGCATGGGGAAGGCCAGGCAGGGTCAAAATCCTACACTGCACGGGAAGCCCCCCAAGCCTCACAACAAAGCACGGTCTGGCCCACGTGTCCGTAGGGCCAAGGTGGAGACACCCCGCCTTGACCCACCCTTTTCTCTTTCTCTAAGCTTCTGTTCTTTATCTAATTTAATCTTTCCCTGATGTTTGGGTCCCAGATGTGTGGCCCAAGGGGCTGAGGGTTTGGGAAAGAAAGAGAAAGAAAGCAGGGTGTGGCTGAGGTTCACCACATGTCTGCATCTCCTGCAGCCTGGAGAAATGCAACCTGTCGGCGGCCAGCTGTCAGGATCTGGCCTTGCTTCTCACCAGCATCCCAAACATAACCCGACTGTTCCTGGGATTCAATCGGCTCCAAGACGATGGTGTGAAGCTGTTGTGTGCTGCCCTGACTCACCCTGGGTGTGCCTTAGAGAGACTGGAGTGAGTTCCTCTTGGCTCCACTTCTAGAAATGACTCTCTGGGGATAGGCATTGAGCAGAACAATGGTCCCTTCATTTGGGATCCATTTAAAGGTGACTGAAGTTGAAACGTGAGAATAAACACACAATTTTCTGTAAATAAATTCCGGGTGTTTTTGGTCTCCCCTCGTATATTATGTGACTTATCTTCTATATAACTTGTCTTGGGAACTTACTACTTGTCATGTACTGTCCCAAGCACATGGATCACTCCTTGGATCATTGACAACTTTATGACAGACCATGATATTCTCCACCTGATTGATTGGTTGATTGGGTCAGGGTCTCACTCTGTCGCCCAGGCTGGAGTGCAGTGGCATGATCGCAGCTCACTGCAGTTGACCTCTGGTGCTCAGGAGATCCTTCTGCCTCTGCCTCCCAAGCAGCTGGAATTACAGGTGTGGGCCACCACGTCTGGCTAATTTTTTTATTTATTGCAGAGATGCAGCCTAGCTATGTTGCTCAGACTGGTCTTGAATTCCTGGGCTCAGGTGATCCTCTTGCCTCACCCCCGCAAAGTGCTGGGATTCTAGGTGTGAGCCACCGCTCCCGGCCTAATCTCTCCTTTAGAATGAAAAAAAAAAAGTAATGACTGAAAAGAATAAAGCCACTTGCTGAAGGTCTCAGGGCCCGCAATGGGTAAGCAGCATTTGAACTCACATGTGACTGATTCCAGAGCCTGGGGCTCATCTCCACTGCCTTGGAGGCACCAAAAATGCTTTCTTTACTTTTTTCATGAGCTAGCCACTAACAAGAAGCCGATAGTTGGCATGCTTATTGTATAACTCTGGACTGGGAACGGGTGAGGGAAAGTATAGACACTTGGTTTTGCCTGGATTGTGGCCACAGCACCCAGGGGAAAAGAAAGAAGATGAGGTTAGCAAGCTACCCCTGGGGTAGACTCGAAGGGGGGTCTGGGGCTCTGCCCTGGGAGCCCTGGGTGGGGCTGTTTTCTGAGCATTTGTGTCTGTGGTTCTCACGCTGCAGGCTTGGGTTTTGCCAGCTGGGGTCACCCGTTTGCGGGCGCTTGTCAGATGCTGTCCTCCAGAACAAGAGTTTGCGGCACCCAAATCTGCTCAGGAACTGCCTGGGAGGCGAGGGAGTGAAGCTTCTGTGTGAGGCCTTGGGCCATCCAGGCTGCCATCTGCAGAGCCTGAAGTAAGCCTTGCTGTGTCCCTGCGTCTACTGGGTGGGAGGAGGGCAGGGGCCACCGACCTATGAGATCCGATGGCGAGGTTCACAAACCAGCCTGGAAGCAGCATCACACACCTCACTGCTGAATAGCACCACGGTCACCTGTGAAGGACTCCCCCTGGGAAGCTATGCATCGATGCCAGCACCTAGTCCACCCATCAGAGCAATTCTGGAGCTCTTTTTCTGGATTTTGGTGAAGGATATTAAAATAACCATGGGTGAAGGGTGCTAAAAAATTTGGACATTTTTGTATACCGTCCCCCCCCTCCAGAATGTCTCACAGAACAGCCAAATGCCCCTCTGCAAAGTCATAGACAGAAAGTAAATGATACTATTTCTGTGAATTCTCTCCTCGTGTGAATCCACAAATTGCCACCAACAGACAGAAAGGAACTCAAGGAGAAGACCCATTTTAAAAAAAATTACTAATTTTGATAATGCTGGGAATATTTTAGTGGCCCCAAATGTAGCACATCCATAGTTCAACTTAGACAAAAAGGAGTATTTTTGCATTGATCAAATAGGTAAGTAAATTCACAGGATTAGATGTTGCTGCACTGTCTGCTATGACACTCAACTAGCCGGGTGTGACTGAGTTTAAATTAAGATGAATGAAAATTAAATATAATTAGAAATTCAGTTTCTCAGTTGCAGTAATCACGTTTCAAGTGCTCAGTTTTCACATGTGACTAACAATGATCACAGTGGCTGTCACAGCCATAGAACACACTCGGTATGATGGAAAGTTCCATTGAACTCTGCTGGTTCAAAGACTGGACAAAGTCCACTCTGCCAGTGTTCCCCAGATGTCCAGTTCCCCTCCCTGGGGGACATCAATGCTTTAAGTGTCTCTTATTATTTTAATCCTTTTCGAGGTCTTCTGTGTGTATTTGAGTATGTATGTTTTCACTCAGCATTTATTACCGGGAAACATGTACCCCAAACAATATATCCGAGAATGTTACCCAGCAGTACACAACAGCTTTTACTCTTCAGTAACTATATAGCAATTTGTGCAACACATCTTAAAAACAAAGCCCCAACCACCATATTCCTCTTAACTGAAACCTATATACCCTTTGACTACCATCTCCCCATTCCCTCCACCCTCTAACCTCCTAACTAGGGAGATCTGTTTTGGGGGGGTTTGATGTTCATGTGGTATTTATCATGTTGACCGTTTTTTTAGACTTCACCTTTGATAGTTTTAACTACGTGGACATTTTTCATGCAATGTTTTCACTTTATGGCTTAAGGATATTTTACTCCTGTATGCTTTTTCCACATTAAGGTGTTCGTCTTCCAATGTTTCTCCCTCCCCCCTTCTCTCTTTCTCCGGCCTCTTCCTTGGCCACCACACCTCATCCCTCTCCCCTCATCCCTTACTCTCTCCAAATATTCACCCAGATTAACCACTTTAAACTTATTTTGTATGGTAATTCATTCTGAGAAATTCAGACCTGCCCTTAGGTCTGAATTCTAGGTGTTATTTTCAGCTCAACTCTTGAACTGAAACGCTGAAGGAGTAAACTAAGATAGCCAAACAGAGTGGTCTGCTGGTACATATTCCAGAGAGGAGCCCTTCACATCCACACACCTGCAGATGGCATGGAAGGGAGATGGTGTCTTTCTGTGGCTTCTGCCTTCTTTCTACATAGGGAAACACAGCACCCTGGGTGTCATGGCTCCTTCCTCTTGCTAGGGCTTGGGATGACAAGCATGGCTTTGGTGTCTCTCCTTTCCTTGGAAGTGAGATGGGCTAGAATTTATAGAGTATGGCTTAAAAACTCAAAGATTATTTTTTCCCATTTTGTATATTTTTATTGTGTCTGTGTTTAGTTTGTCAGGTTATTCTTTCACGAAGGAGGGCTGTCACTACCTTGCCAGTGCCCTCAAGCATAATTAGAATGTGCAAATTTTGGATATTGGGAACACTGACCTTCAGGACAATGGAGTGAAACTACTGTGTGAAGCTATGAGATCTTCAAAGTGTGCATTAAACACACTTGGGTGAGCTGACACTGTTCTTCTTGCAGGAAGTCTCCCCCATCTACTCTTGGGGTGGGGAGAGAATGGTGGGGGTCACATGGGGATTAGAAAGTCAGAAATGGCAAAGGACAAAATTCTTTCAAAAATCTCCCTGTCAACTTGATAAGTTCCAAGCTTAGAGAAAGTATTTAACTCTTGTTACTGTCATCCTTGGTATGTTGTAACTATTCTTATATTCTTTCTTTCAGTCCTCTCATTTTGGGTTCATCTTGGGTACATCCTACTTTCTGTGCCGTGAATCTCCCAAAGGAAAGACTGTTGTTAACCACAATGCAATGCGTGCTTAGCGGACTAAGGTGGCTTGGTCTTGAGCTGTATGATTGCTGGCTAAATGTGGCTTAAATAGTAGCTGCTTCTCATGTAGGTAAAGGGAACAATGGTTGTTTAATTCTGTAGCTCAATAATGTTTTTGGAAAGGGTGTTTGTTAGAATTTCTCAGAAAATATTTAATGAACCCATTCAAATTATAAAGAATCTCCAGCAGTGTTGGGGTTTACCAGCCACATCAAATTCCCTCTCTTCAGAGATTGTTAATTCTATTATATAAACCCCGTGAATTACACTATTGGTCAAAACATCAAGAAACTGGACTTGTTTTCTCACAAGACTTACCAAAGAAAAATATATGAATACATTAATGTTGACTGCAGTATAGTGTTCAAGATGGTTTGACATGAATGCACTCTGAATCAAAAAGCTTGTATTTACTGTACAAATATCAGATAATGAAGCAATTTATTGCAGAACTATTTCCTTAAAAGAGAGACTTATTCTGGCTTTGGTTTCCTTTCTAAAGGAAGGGTTTCATCAGCAGGTTGATGGGGATGGAGGGAATGAATCATGGCCTGGTGCTTGAGGGGGCCCTGATGTTGGGTACCACATACCAGGACCAGCACACCAAAGTGCAAGACACGCCACACACTCAGGTTCCTCTCAGAAACTGCCTTCTGAGATATTTCTCAGAGGAGATTAGGTTTTGAGGTGGATCTTGAAACATGAGCCCCCACCTCCCAGCACCCCAAAGAAGAGAGGAAAAGAAAGTCTTTGGCAGAGGGCAACAGCATATATAAGGGCTCAGAAATCGACTTTGTTGGGGGAAAGATGAAGGACACAGACTTGGAGTGATGATGGGTCTGGGAAATGGGGACATGACTATGTTAAAAAAATTGTGTAGGGCTGGCTCTCATTTGAATGATACTATGGGCATAGAAATGGGAAACACGTAGTGATTATCACGTCATCTTCCAGTAGGGAGCTACTAGGAGACATATGTACTTTGATACCCAATTTACAGATGGGGAGACTAAGGCAAAGGGATCACTTAAGGGTGGAAACAGGGACCCAGTCTAAGTCTGATTTGGAAGTTAATTCTTTTCCCTATTTCTCTATCCCCTAAGAAGTATCTTCAGGATATATATTGGGGGGTGCCAAAAAAAAAGTATACACATTTTAAGAGATGTTATCTAGGTAAGTTGAATTGAATTATGGTAGCAATGTGTAGTATGTTTGCTCAAAAGATGGCATTAATTTTTTGTTATTGGTATATATTGAGTATCACAATTTTAATATAACTTTTTTCCTTTCTTAGCATTTATTATAGATACACACATTATATATGTATATATAATGCATGTATATAATGTACATATGCATTTTAACCTGTAGGTAAAAAAGAAGCCACCAGATTTATGCAATAAATCAAGGTCATAGTTATGCTTTAAAAACTGATGCTGGAATGGTTTTAAGCCCTCAGTCTCCAAGTGCTTCTTTCCAGAGGAAGAAATGAATAAAACATTTACAGTATTATTGCATTGTCTTTGATGATGAAGCCCTTCCTGAATTCCTTCAGCTCACTTTCTCTGAGACTTATCCTCCAATGTTGTATCCCTTAAAGGAGGTCTGTGCATCTCTCTATGTGTACATATTGCCTCTGGATGTCCTAGAGTCGTGTACAGAGGGGTCCATCTTCACTAGCTAGACCAACAGTTCCCAGTCTCAGCACCCTATTGACACTGTTGGCTGGACCATTCTGTGTTGTGGGAACCAGTCCTGTGCCCTGCGGGATGTTGAGTAGCATCCCTGGGCTCCACCCATGAGGCGCCAGTAGCATCTTCCGTCTCCAGACATTGCCAAACCTCCTCTATGGGGCAGAATCACCTTGATTGAAAAACGCTGGACTCTATGATTCAAGGGGTACCGTTAAATGATCAAGAGCAGATCAACAGCATCTACTATAGTGTTAAAAGCTGGGCTGGGGGCCTGATATCCGAGACATCAAGACTCACCTTTTTGACCTTAGAGCCCATGTTTTTCCCATATTCTGCTCTTCTTGTCCATCAAATGGGAGTTGCTCTTGATGGATTCCCTGAATCTCACCCAACCTTCTCCAACATGAAGGATTATGCCCCTCCCCTGTACTCTTCATGCTTCAGAGTTTGCACATGGGATCATAAGTCATATTTCTTTGTAGACTTAGGTGGAAATTTCTGCTTTGTTGAACTACTCTGAGGTGCTTGGTTTTTGTCTTCCTACTTGCTTGCCAACCATGTTCAAATTGGATATTGGAATTTAGAAACGAAATTTTAAAAGTGTAGATAAGGGGTAGGAATGCTATTTCAGCCATTTCAAAGATCTTATAAATAAATTCACATTCATTTAAAAATAAAATGGTTTCTTTCACATTCTAGCAGGGTTAAACTTTTGTTTCACCCTCTGCCAAATAGGGTTTAAAGCAGTATCTACCCTTGCTGGGATTGGTACATGTCTAAAATTAGTTATGTGTGAATGTTTGGGAAAGTGTCTGGCTTGTGGTGAGTAGTCCACTGTTGAGCAGTCTGTTTCTGTAGAATTTTTTCCCTAGATCTTGTATCCCTTTCTTTCTAAATTCTCAGACCCAAAGGCCTGTGTTTATGCTTCCTTCCACCACCTCTAGGTTGGAGAGATGCAATTTGACTCCTGCTTGCTGTCAGCATCTCTCCTCTGTTCTCAGGAGCCGTAAGAGCCTGGTTACTCTGAACCTTCTAGCCAATGACTTGGATCCTGATGGGGTCAAGACACTGTGCAAGGCCTTGAGAAAATCAACATGTAAACTCCAGAAATTTGGGCAATCCCTGCTGATGTCTCTCCCTGGGACAGGGCTGGACTGACTAATCTTTTAAAGCAAGCGTCATGTTTAGCCTGCATTTAGTTTCCTCGGGCAGTTCTGGCAGACAGAACTTTCAGCTGTGATGGAAATCACCCCTGTCTTTACTGTCCCCCAGCCACCTGGCCACTAGCTGCAACCCGTAGTCAGGCACTTGAAATGTAGCTAGTGTGACTCGGGACTGAGGACTGAATCTTCCACTGTCTTTTGTTAAATTGAAATTTTTATTTTATTTTAATTTTTTAAAAATAATTTTTATTTTATTATAAAATTATTTTATTATAAAATTTTTATTTTATTATAGTCTGAACAGCCACATGTGACTGATGACTGCCATATTGGATGGCGCAGTCCTAGAGATGTGCTGGTGTTTTGAGAGCCCTCTAATTGTTCTCATTCTTGTATCTACTCAATAGTCATTCACTCAACGGCTTATTTTTATTTTTATTGTTTTATTTATCTCAATAGTTTTAGGGGGTACAAATAGCTTTTGGGTACGTGGATGCATGGTAGAGTGGCGAAGCAGTCTGGGCTTGAAGTGTCCCCACCACCCCCGCCTGTGCACACTGTACCCCATAGGTGACTTTTCTTCCCTCCCCTCCTTCCTCCCTCTTCTGAGTCTCCAGTGTCCATGACACTATTCTCTGTGCCTTGGCAGATCCTTAGTTTGGCTCTAACTTATCAATGAGGACATGTGGTGTTTGGTTTTCTGTTGCTGGGTTAGTTCAATTAGGACGATGGTCTCCAGTTCCATCCAAGTTGCTGCAGAAGACATCATTTCATTCTTTTTGATGGAACAGTTTATTTGTAAATACTGGTAGGCGGGGAAGCAGCATGAGACTTGTCCTCATGGGTCTCAAGTTCTCCTCTGGAAGCTGTCCAATCTGAGAGCAGTCTTTGTTGTCATGAATGCTATGAAGGAAACTCTGGGTTGAGGTATAGAAACTTGGAAACATGACGGTGATCAGAATGGTAAGGGGCTTGTCTGAGGTATTGTCAATGATCTTGAGTCCCAAGGGGGCTGGAAGGAGGAATCCATAAATCAGAAGGGAAACATGGGAAGCGACTAGAGATGAAGGGTGAGGTGTTCTAAGGAAGTTGCAGTGGAATGCGCAAAGGCCCTGAGGTTGGATCAAGGTTTATGCTGCTCCTTGAGGTATTTAAAGAGGAGCATTTAATTAGGACACTATCCACCCTCTACCTTATGCAGTATTTTGTAGGGGCGATCAGAAAGGTGAGCAGGTGTTACTCCTGGGAAAGACATTTAGTGGATGATTATTAGCAGAAGTCATCTCAGATGCCAAGGAAACTTGCCTACTTGGGGAAGTTAGCCAAACCCATACACTGAGGCTTTGATGTTACCAATTTCACACTTAGGTGGTGCATTTTATTGTATTTTACATTATCATTATTTTTTGAGTCAGATTCTCACTCTGCTGCCCAGGCTGGAGAGCAGGGGCATGCTCATGGCCACCGCAGCCTCAACCTGCTGGACTCAGGCGATCCTTCCACCTCCACCTACCAAGTAGCCAGAACTACAGGCATACATCACCACACGCCGCTAATTTTTTGATTTATTGTAGACACAAGGTCTCGCCAAGTTGCCCAGTCTGGGTCTTGAACCCCTGGGCTCAGGCAGTCCTCTCCCCTCTGCCTCCCAAAGTGCTGGGATGGCAGGCATGTGCCACTGCGGCCAGCCTGAGAGTGGTGCATTTAAAACACTCATAAGGTGGCCTCGAACAATTGTAATGCTATAAGAAAGCGATTGGCAGTAGTGGAAAACTGTCAGGGGAAGGGGGGTGGGACTGGCAGTTGAGGGAAGCTACTGGGGAGGGAGGGGCATACCTCACCAACAAGGGTACCTGCGTGATCAGTGTGTGTATACCTAACCCTGAATTGTACCCCACATCTTTATAATAGATAAAAAACTTAAAAAAAATAGTTCTGGGATGGCGACCATTGGAGGTAGAAGTTTTTCCCCTTTCTATCGTGTGTGTGTGTGTAAATCCTCTGGCTGGATGCCCAGACTCACTCGTGAAGAAGAGAATGCTCAGAGTTTACGTTTCCGTTTGCTAACACAGACTAATAGTGAAAATGAGAGGAACTGCTCAGTTTTATTCGTACACAATCTTCAGCGACATGTTATCCTAACCTGCCCTCTGTCCCTTGGGTCAGCTGTGGTTTTCCCATCCTGTGCCTTTGTGGCTGTGGCTTTTCTCCATGGAGAGAGGTTCTCGAGTCTTGAAATCTCAGCATCTGTGGATGAGGGTCGGGGTGGGATGTGCCAATACTCGGGTAAAGACAAGTTATTTTTTGTACGGGTCGCCTAATCATTTTAATTTGCTTCTTTATTTGGCTTTACTTTTTAATTCTATTCATTTATTTTAAGTCATGGCACTTTCACGTTGTCTTCATGTCACCTCATTCCATCACCTCACCTTTAGGATTTCCCTCACCGAGTCACCTAATCTCTAAGATTGACCTCATCATGTCACCTCACTTCTTTTCTTCACTGAACCACATCAGCTCACTTTGTACTTCACCTCACGGTGCCACCTCAACACCTCACCTCACTTTCTTCTGTAGGTTCACATCTTACCTCACCTTTTACTTAACCTCATCATGTCCCATCAGTACATCATATCCACTCCATACTTCAACATACCACATAACCTCGCCTCTACTTCGCCTCACCATATCACCTAACCACTCTACTTCATCTCGCGATGTCTCCTCATATCTTTACTTCACCTCAGCTTGTCTTCCTGTTTGTTTCGCCTCAGCACATGTTGTAACCTGTTTGCTCACCTCAGCACACCTCCTCACCCCTTTCCTTCGCCCAGCACTTCTCCCCACACCTTCACTTCACCTCGGCGTGACTCCCTACCTCTTCATTCCACCTAATCACATGTCCTCACCTCTTCACTTCACCCCATCTCCGCACCTCTTGACTTAACCTGAGCTTGTCTCCACACCTCTCCGTATCACCTCAGCGTATCTCCTCGTGCTTTTACTTCATCTCAGCACTTACCCTAGCCTCTTTAATTCACCTCAGCACGTCTTGTCACCACTTTACTTCACCTGAGCTCACCTTCTCACCTCTATAATTCACCACAGCATGTTTCTTCACCTCTTGACTGCACCTCAGTACATCACCTCTCCTCTTTATTTCACATCGGCACATCTCCTCACCTGTTTACTTAGCCTCAGGACATCTCCTCCACTCTTAGCTTCACCTCAGCACTTCACCTCAACTCTTTACCTCATCTGAGCACATCTCCTCGCCTGTCTACTTCACCACTGCACATGCCCTCACCTCTTTTCTTCACCTGAGCACATCTCCTCTCTTCTTTGCTTCAGTTCAGCATGTCAGCTACCAACTTTACTTCACCTCAGCACGTCACCTCACCACATCCCCTCACCTCAGCACATTACCTCGACTCTTACTTCACCTCAGCAAATCTTCTCACCTCTTTCCTCCACCTCAGCGTGTCTCTCTTCCTCTTTATTTCACTTCATCACGTCGTCACCTCTTTCCTTCACCTCAGCTCATCTTTATATCTCTCTACTTCACCTCAGCACAGCTCCTCACATCTTTACTTCACCCTATCATCTCACCTCTTCAACTCAGCAGGTCACCTCACCTCTGTACTTCACCACTGTGCATCTCCTTATCACTTTATTTCACCTCAGCTTACCTCCACATCTTTTCACTTCACCTCAGCATGTATCCTCACCTCTCCATTTCGCCTCACCACATCTCCTAAGCACTTCAATTCAACTCAGCTCATCGTGTTACCTCTTTGTTTCTCCTGAGCACGTCTCCTCATCTCTTTACTTCACCTCAGCACCTCGCCTCACCTCACCTCTAGACTCCTTCAACTCAGCGCACCTCCTCATCTCTTTATTTTATCTCAGCATGTCACAGCTCCTCTTTCCTTCACCTCAGTACTTCTCCCCACTTCACCTCAGCTCATCTCCTTACATCTTTACTTCACCTCAGCACATCACCTCACCTCTTTTCCTCACCTTAACAAATCTCCTTACCTGCTTACATCACCTCAGAACGTCTCTTCACCTCTTTACTTCACCTCAACACATCTCTTCACCTCTTTCATTCACCACATCACATCTCCTCACCTTTTTACTTCATCTCAAAACATCACCTCAGCTACTTTAACTCAGCATGACACCTGACCTCTTTACTTCACATCAGGACATCTCCCCTCCTCTTGCCTTCACCTCAGCTCTTCACTTCACCTCTTTAGTTCTCATTAGCACCTCACCTCAACTCTTTACTTTACCTCAGCACATCTCCTCACCTCTTTTCTTAACCTCAGGACAACTCCTTCACTGTTTACTTCACCTCACCACATATCCTCAATTCTTTACTTCACCTCAGCATGTCTACCTTTTTACTTCACCTCACTACATCTTCTCACCTCTGCACGTCACCTCACCTCTTTACTTCACCTCAGTACTTCTCCTCTCCTTTTTTCTTAGCCTTGGGACATTCCCTCAAGTCTTTACTTCACCTCATCTCACCTCCTCACCTCTTTACTTCCCCCCAGCATGTCTCCCTTCCTCTTTATTTCACATCACCACATGTCATCACCTCTTTCCTTCACCTCAGCTCATCTCTTTACCTCTTTACTTTGCTTCAGCACATCTCCTCACCTCTCTAGTTTACCACAGCGGTCACCTCAGCTCTTTACTTCACCTCAGCACATCTCCTCACTTCTTAACTTCAGGACATCTCCTCAACTCTTTACTTCTCAGCACAACTCATCACCTCTTAACTTCACCTTAGCACATCTCCTCCCCTCTTTACTTCACCTCAGTACATCTCCTCACTTCTTTCCTTCACCTCATCACATCTTTTCACTTCTTTCCTTCACCTCAGCTCATCTCTTTACCTCTTTACTTCACCTCAGCCCGCCTCCTTACCTCTTTTTTTCACCTAGCATATCTTCTCACTTCTTTATTTGACCTCAGCTCATCTTC